TTGTCGTATTCAATGTGTTACCTATACTCTATACTCTTGAGAATTAAATTAAATATGCTTTAAAAAACCGAGGACCTCATTTTACTTCTAACACACAAATCCGAGTAGCAATATACAAAAACTAGATGTCTAGGGTCCCTACTAAACGTATCAGAAATCAAAATGAGGTCCTTGGCAAACGAATACTCAATACATGCTCTACATAGAATTCAGATCATCACTTCTGCGTTATCCTCATTCATGTACAATGCAGTCATCATCATCTCCTTATCCTACTTCCGTAGGGTCGGCGCAACAGATTTTGTCCTCCACATAACTATCATACGTCATCTCAGTGCTGTCCTCATTTTTTCTTTTTCGGGTCTCTAAAACCTTAGATTCGGGACTATTTTTTGCCCGCCTGCCTGTCGCCAACCCTACTTGGGATTATTTAAATGTACAATTATTACATTTATTTCATGTACAATGCAGTATATCTTACTATTATAAATGCGATTGTTTGGATGGATGTTAGCAGGTATCTTTTAAAGGGTTCATCAGACCTTGATGTGGCATTTATTTAGAACATACTCTTGAAGAACACTTGGACTATTTACTTTTGTTTTTTAATTCCGCGCTAATTAACTGCGAACAAGCTTGGTTATGTCTGTAGATTTTCCTCTTGGTTTCGAAAGGAAATGTTTAGAAAGACACTATGGTTATGATGTCCACCGAGGGGGGTTATCCAAATAACCCAAGCATCTTCAAGTGCGTTGGACGTGGCTATGATATCTCAGATGGAAGAAAGAAGTGCTCCACTGCAGTCAGCTTGCGCGCTTCCGACTAAAGCAAACCCTTTATGCTACGAGTATATAGTCTAGTAATAATAATAATGTGTCTTGATGTCATTTCTGCAACTATTAATTTCATTCGATCATTTATTTTGTCTGAACTGAATAATAAATCTTAATGATCTATGTATCTGGTGATAGTTTGTTTCCTTCCTTTTAAAAATGCTTAGTAAATAATTGGAACGATTTACTATCGAAAATTCGATTAATAGCAATCGATAACTAATCATAGGACATCCGATAATAGACAATGTTGAATAATTGATTTTATTTGTACTATTAAATTGTAATATAGATTGAAAAGATAATAATCTACAGGTGGCCAGTAATTGTTTATTGTTGTCCTCACTTAAGGTTTTTAGAGATAAAAATGGTGCGTTAAAAAACTAGTAGGTATATTGTTAATTTATGCTTCTTTTCAACTTTATTTTGTGACTCGCTTTCGCACGGGACTCCATCCGCGTGTAATTAAAAAAAACCAAAAGTAAGTAGCCTATGTGTTCTTCCAAACTATCCTCTACATCTGTGCCAAATTTCATCGAGATCCGTTCAGCCGTTTAGGCTACAAACTCTAACAAACATCCATCCATCTAAACTTTCGCATTTAAAATATTAGTAAGAAGTATAAAGTAAGATTGCAAAGTACATTTTTAATCAATTAAACGGCGTAAACTACCAGACATTGGTGATAGGCGGCAAAGTCTGAATAAGGGGATTTAAAAAAAAAACTTTAAGTGAAATAGGAATATGTAAATAAGTAAAACGTTACAGATATATTGCACAACTTTGCGAAACCTTAACTACAAAAATCTGTTTCTTTTTGAGTTTAACTTCCTTAAGGTGTGGCAGTAAATTTTTCCTGAACCTTATCAATAATTTCTTAAGAATAAACGATATCTCGTTCTAAATATATGTTAAATGATTAATCAAAGATATTCGATACAATATTAAAGGAAACCCCCGAAAATCGAAACGATTTCACAAAAAGCCGGTAAAATTATCAGATTATTTAAATCTTGATAGCCGAATCTGTGATCATTGATCATTATTGAAGATAGAAATCAAACAGTTGATAATATTAATAAGTATATAAAAATCAACATCAAGTTTCAATTTACTTGTCTTTGTTAAAGTGCCGAAAACATGAAGACGGTGACGTTTCTATTATTAAGTGTGTTAATAGGTTTAGCGGTTGCTGAGGAACCCGAGGCGCCGTTAGCTGAAGAATGTGACAAGGAACTTTGTGAACTACCGAAATGTAGATGCTCGTCTACCGATATACCTGGAGATCTAGCAGCAAGAGATACCCCACAGGTAAAAAAATACATCACACTATCATTCCACCCCAGATCAAAGACCATCCAAAGCTTTCTTTCAATAAGCTATTTATTTCCCTATCCAGTTAATAACCTTAAACTGTGACAAAGATCGATCTCATCGTTTTAATTACTTTTAAATATTTAGAAAAGTGGTTATAATAAATGCAGCAAGTACAAAACATAGACCATAGAGAATTAAAGTTGTATAAAACTGTAACCAACTCCTCAACAGAAGAAAGTCAACGTAAACTATAAAACTTAATCTAAATGTATATTCTAATTAGAATTTACTTGTCAATTACAGTTCGTTCTTCTCACTTTCGATGATGGCGTCAACATTCGTAATATCGAGACCTACCGTGAAATCCTCTACCGGCGCACCAACAAGAACAACTGCCCCGCCAGTGTCACTTTCTTCGTTAACCACGAATACACTGACTACCAGCGTGTCAATGAACTATACAATCAAGGTTTCGAGATTGCCCTACACTCCATCACTCACCAAACTCCTCAATCGTACTGGGCTGAAGCAACCTATGAAGATATGATGAAGGAATTCGGAGACCAGAAACGTCAGATGTCGCACTTCGCCAACATTCCCTCAGATGCCATACAAGGTAGGCATCTGATATTTTTCAGCCTCCACCAGTTGTTACGGATCTTGACAAATTCACAAATCTGACCTAGTTCATATACTGTAGTAAAAACGCTAACACATGTTTCAGGAATCCGAATTCCCTTCCTGCAAATGACTGGAAATGCCAGTTTCCAAGTAATGGCAGAGACTGGTCTTCGGTATGACTCTACGTGGCCAACCACTCGCTTTACCGACCCCGGCAAGTGGCCATACACATTGGACTACGCGTCTACACAAGACTGCGTCATTCCTCCTTGCCCGACTGCGTCAGTTCCCGGAGTTTGGGTTCTCCCGATGATAAGTTGGACAGATCTCAATGGATTCCCTTGTTCTATGGTCGATGCTTGTGTATTTGTGTAAGTAGAAAATCTATAAATTCAATTAGCAATAACATATTATTAATAGTGGTAGTGCCCGCTTTAACATCTTAGCACGAATGGGCCGGCACGCCCGGAGTAATACCACGACCACACAGAAGACAGGCGTCAAATGGAAGCAATTCCATGTTTCGTCCGATGAGTGTCGTGCCGGAGACTTAATAAGTCCCTTTCTCCTTACCACCCTTTTCTTATAAGGAGAGGATGGGAAGGGGAAGTGGATTTGACAGTGGAGGAGATGCATAGAAAGGGCAAATATCCTCTTTAGCTGCGTCTCCTCCTCCGTCGTATAAGGGTAGGCAACGCATCTGCAATTGCGGATGTCTATGGGCAGCGGTCGCTTCGCCATTTTTGCGGATTCAGGGGGCCGCATGCTCGTTTGCCACCTTATGATATAAAATATATATATATTCCTTAATTAAGATTTAACATCTATTGCTTACGACATTTAAGAAAAAATCAGTCTGTAGACAAAAAAATTAAAATACCATTGTCCTCTTCAATTTATATATTGAGATACAATATTCAATCTGTAATCAAACAAAATCAAAAAACCATTGTACTCTTCAATTTTTACATAAGTTGAAGAGTACAATGGCTATTGATAAATCTTGATCTTTCATTTAATCCACTAATTTCCTTATAAATAACTACATTTATATGAATATTCTAGGCCTCCTCATCATGATGAAGATGCGTGGTTTAAGTTCATCCTCACTAACTTCGAGAGGCATTACCTCGGTAACCGCGCTCCTTTCGGCTTCTACGTCCACGAATGGTACATCTCTGCCTACCCCGGGGTCAAGCGAGCGTTGATCCGATTCTTAGATCTAATCAACAGTCTAAATGATACGTTCATGGTAAGCAATTTTTCATTATTGTCGATGTCACGAATCAAAAAGGTTCCTATTTGTGATTTGAACAGAATAAACAAACTGCATATTAAACGAATTCATTCACAAAGTAATGATTGTTATATTTTGTAGAGCCTTGTGATTTATAAGGCTTGCTACATAGCTTACGGAGTACAGCTAAATCCGAAAGTTTCTGGAGGCTTAATATGACTTGAGCACTTATTGGACAGACACTTCGTTAACACTAATAGTAGCCAATGAACGCTAGTTGAAATTTAATTTCAACCAATCACAACAAAGCGCTAAACGTTACTGTGTGTAAATTCATGTTCGATCTGAATATAATATTTTAAAGAAAACTTGCTATATTGGTGTATACCATCTTTGTATTTCAGGTTAGCGCTGGTGAAGTTATCGACTGGGTTGAGAATCCAGTGCCGGTAAACGAATACGTGAAGAAGGAATGCAAGAGTTTCACGCCTACGAATTGTCGCGCCACCAGCTGCGGACCTCTCACCTCAACACATACTGAGGTAAAATCCAAAAGTATTTTAGCAATGTATTATTTTTTATAAATAAACTAGCGTCTGATAAGAACGCTTACAGTCAAAACTACCTCACAACTGTTTTATCGCGCTTTGATTCCGATGAGTCTATTTGAAGGTGCAAGTTGAGCAACTAAACATTTGAATTGGTTGCAAAACAATCGACAATCACACAACTGTTGTGCGATAGCTTAGTAAAAGAAGTGTGCCCGCGCTTGTAGCATTAGTTAAACTTCTTGAATAAAACATTAGTAATTACAAGCTTACAATTAGCTAATAATTTTTGCAGTCATCATTGCATTGGTGTAAAAAGTTTAGCTGATGCTATGACTGTACCATAAAAATATCGTCATCTCTTTTACTCTCTCTAAAAATATAGAGATAGCAATACGTTTTTATGATGTTTTTGTTTTGTTTTAGATGAGTTACTGGATGCAGATTTGTAACACATGCCCGAGAGTCTACCCCTGGCTAGGAAATCCTCTTGGAGAATAATTTATTACTACATTAATTAAATTATAGCAATATGTAATGATTATTTTGTCTTATTTCTCTCTACTACATTTTTTTTTAATCTTAGTAATATTATAAATGCGAAAGTTTAGATGGATAGATGTTTGTTAGAGTTTGTAGCCTAAACAGCTGAAAGGATGTCGAAAAATGTCGATGAAATTTGGCATAGACGTAGGGGATAGTCTGGAAGAACACATGGGCTACGCACTTTTGTTTTTTTATTCCTACGCAGATGGAGTCGCGGGCGAAAGCTAGTTACAAATGAATCATGTTTAATAATAAATTAGCGTTTGACCACAATCCCACTTAGAATTAAGTTAACATGTGGTCGAAGTAGTCAAAGTTTACTTGGGGAGGAGAAGGCGGCAATATGCCGCCGCCCTCGCCTCTTCCTGTCCTTCTCGTCTACAGCGACAGGGCGGTAGATTCAGGGAAATCT